AAGATCCCGTGACACTATTCAAAAAGAGAAGGGAGTTTCTCTTTCTCTCTCTCTCCCGATGTCCTGGCCAACAATCCCCCAGATAAAATTAGTCACTCACTTCACACAATCGGCTGCCGTGTTTCGCCCACAAAATACAGTCACTGCATTTCACAGTATATGTGAAGCGCTTTGAGATGTCTTAAAGACAGGATAAGGTGCTAAATCAAATGCAAGGATTACTATTTGTTGGTTGGACACCGGGAGAGAGAAACTCTTTTCATTAGTGACGTGGGATTTTTAATGTCCACTTAGAGTTGAAGCACGATTCGTAATCATCTAAATCCATAATCAGGATCAGAGCCTTAAAATTATGCAGATAAAGAGATACCTTATGCTTATCTTGATCACGGCTCATTGTAATTAACTGGGAGCTACAATGAGGGTTTCTAGTCTGTGCGGGTTTTAATAATAATAATCCTTGCATTTGATATAGTGCTTTCATGACCTCGAGATGTCTCAAATAGACTGTAAAGTGAATTGACTGTATATTTGTGGGCGAAACGTGGCAGCCAATTGCACACAGCAATGTCCCAAAAACAGTCGCAGATTGAAGTGACCAAAGTATTATTGTTTTTTTTTGCAGAAATCTGACATAAAGTCAATGTTTTCAGTCCAGACATTATTGTTGCTGGTTCATTCTTAACTTTGAAGCCAGATGTCTGTAGTTATAAACTCTAATTCAATAATAATTCTACTTGCATTTACAATAGCGCCTGATCATAATGCCTCAAAGGGCTTCACAGCATTTACCATAAAGTGCAGTAAATCTGTAAGCAAATGGGACCGACAATTTGCACACAGCAGTTGCCCACAAACAGCTACAAAGTCCTGAAATAACCCGACACAAAACTAGCTTAGAAATTAAGGTTGAGTTTAAGAAGTTGCTAAATTCTGCTCCCTCTGAAAATACTAAAACAATAGTGAAAGTTGAGACCGAGGTGGAATTTCTCCCCCCCGCTGGAGCTTATTACTTTCTGTTTTATCCTGTTATAAAGACTTTACTCGAGGATTTTCCTTTGGGATCTCGTGGTATTATGTAGGAAATCCAATACTCCCTCAGCACCTCAGGAATTCAATACAGCACTAATGTGTCAAATTGCCAAAATGGATGGTTGACACATTGGCACAGACTTGGATACCAATCTGCCCCGTGTTTTCCCACCAGCTTGGAAGTGAGCAATAACTGACATTTATACAGAGCCTTTCACATCAGGAATGCGTCTCAAAGTGCTGCACAGAGCTGACTGCAAGCCCAAGCTGGCGGTTGGTGGTGGGGGGGTGGGCGGGGGGTGGGGGGGGGGGGCGTTTGCGGGTGTGGAGGAGGGAGAAAGTAGCCAAAATCACGGTTGAAACGTTAGGTCTTGAGGCGAGGTTTGCCCGCAGAATACACAGTTAGTCCACTTTGCAATACATTCGTTGATGCGCTTTGAAAGGATCTCAATGACATGATAAGGCACTATAAATCCAAGTAGTTTGTATGTCAATTGCAAGGATGATTATTGTTGTTGTTACGGGGAGGGAGAGGGCGAAGCAGAGTGGACTAAAGCTCACCCTTACACAGGTACAAGTGAGGTGAGTTGGATTTCAATGCCAGTTGCTGTACACAAATTGGCTCCTGAAAAACAAAGTCACTACATTTTCCAGGTAAAATCCTACAAAGCGATTTAAGACGTCCTAAAATGAATGGTGCTCTGTCAAATGCAAGGATTGGTATTATTATCATCACCAATTATCACCAAGCTGGTGAAGGTAGCCCGGCTCAGCTGATGGAACCGTTGCCTCTAAGTCAGAAGGTTGTGGGTTCAAGCCCCATGGTTCGGGCAGTGCAGCGTAGGGGGAGGACCCGTTTTGTCAGAGTTGCCGTCCTTCAAAGGACGTGTTAAACCCAGTTCCTGTTTGCTTTCCGAGATGGACATTTAAGATGAAATTGTAGTATTCAATAAGGGAATGGAGTTTCCATTGAGTGTCTTGGCCAACAATCTCCAGTTAAAATCATTCACTTCATGACTTTACATTGATTGAACTGAACACCTCCACTCTGCCTGACTGATTGACAAACGGGTCTGAAAGTCTGGGAGATGATAATTCTATTAATAATAATAATAATCCTGGCATTTGATACAGTGCCTTACCACCTCCTCGAGACGTCTCAAAGCGCTTCACGGAATTTACAGTAAAGATTTTGAAGATTTTGTGGGCGAAATATATCGTTCTGCAGAGGGCGTAACACAAAGAAGTCTTCACCTTCAAAAAAATAAACTTGCAAAAAAAAAATGAAATTAAATAATAATAATCCTTGCATTTGAGATAGCACCTGATCGCACTTTTGAGGCGTCTCAAAGCGCTTCATAGAATATATTGTGAGGTGTATTTTGTGGGCGAAATGCGGCGGTCAATTGCGCACAACAGCGTTCCACAAACAGCCGCGGATTGAGCGACCAAATTATTATTATATTTACCAGCAATCGGCATCAGCTTTTAATTCGAGATATTAAAATTCTTTCCATCTGATATTTGGGATTCCCACAACACACACACAAACACACACACAAACACACACCCCCCACACACAACATACACAACACACACACACCCCACACACAAACACACACCCCCCACACACAACATACACAACACACACACCACCCCACACACAACACACACACACCCCACACACAACACACACAACATACACACACCCCACACACACACCCCACACACAACACACCCCCACACACACAACACACACAAACACACACCCCCCACACACAACATACACAACACACACACTCCCACACACAACACACACACAAACACTCCCACACACAACATACACACAAACACACACACTCCCACACACAACACACACACAAACACACACCCCCCACACACAACATACACAACACACACACACCCCACACACAACACACACACACACCCCACACACAACATACACAACACACACACCCCACACACACCACACACAACACACACACCCCACACACAACACACACACACCCCACACACCCCACACACAACACACACACAAACACTCCCACACACAACATACACACAAACACACACACTCCCACACACAACATAACAACACACACACACTCCCACACACAACCCACACACAACACACACAACACACACACCCCCCACACACAACACACACACCCCCCACACACAACACACACACCCCCCACACACAACATACACACACCCCCCACACACAACATACACACAAACAAACACTCCCACACACAACACACACACAAACACACACACTCCCACACACAACCTACACACAAACATACACACCCCACACACAACATACACACAAACATACACACTCCCACACACAACATACACACAAACATACACACTCCCACACACAAACACACACACTCCCACACACCCCACACACACAAACACACACACACAGAGCCTGTGGTGGCGGTGTAACAGAGGGCGGACTCGGGGACCGCACGGAATTCTGCTTAAAAAGGTCCATTTGCGGATCGGTCGTTTCATTCCGCAGCTCAGAGAGGAGAGAGAGAGGGGGAGGGAGAGAGTGGGGGAGAGAGGAGGGGGAGAGAGGGGGAGAGAGAGAGGGGGAGAGGGGGAGAGAGAGGAGAGGGGGAGAGGGAGAGAGAGTGGGGGAGAGGGAGGGGGAGAGAGAGGGGGAGAGAGAGAGGGGGAGAGGGGGAGAGAGAGGGGGGGAGAGAGAGGGAGAGAGGGGGGGAGAGAGAGAGGGAGAGAGGGGGAGAGGAGGAGAGGGGAGAGAGAGAGGGGGAGAGGGAGAGGGGAGGGGGAGAGAGAGAGGGGAGAGGGGGAGAGAGGGGAGAGGGGGAGAGAGAGGGGGGGAGAGAGAGAGGGGGAGAGAGGGGGGGAGGGGGGGGAGGGGGAGAGAGAGAGGGGGAGAGGGAGGGGGGAGAGAGAGGAGAGAGGGGAGAGGGGAGAGAGAGGGAGGGGGAGAGAGAGAGGGAGAGGGGGGGAGAGAGGGGGAGAGAGAGGAGAGAGGGGGAGAGAGAGAGAGAGAGAGGGGGAGAGAGAGGGGGGAGAGAGAGGAGAGAGGGGAGAGTGGGGGGAGAGGGGGAGAGAGAGAGGGGAGAGAGAGGGGAGAGGGAGAGAGACTCTAAAGGGCAATGTGACGGGGCGGAGGGGAGAGATACAGGGAGGAGAGGAAAAGGGGGACCAGACACTGCACCAGACACTGCACCCAGACACAGCACCCAGGACCCAGACACAGCACCCAGGACCCAGACACAGCACCAGCACCCAGACACTGCACCCAGACACTGCACCCAGTCACAGCACCAGCACCCAGACACTGCACCCAGTCACAGCACCAGCACCCAGTCACAGCACCCAGGACCCAGTCACAGCACCAGCACCCAGTCACAGCAGGGAGAAGGGTGTCTCTGGGTGGGGGTGTGTGTGGGTGGAGGGGGGGGGGGAGAGCATCCAAGGCAACAGAGGACCTCCCTCCATCACCCAGTGCCCAACATGTCTTGGCTTCTGTTGGGCTGCGTCCAACAGCAACTCTGCTAAAAAAAAATAACACTGTGAGAGAGGATCGACTGTGTGTGGAGCAGAGCAGGCAGAGCAGAACAGGCTCAATGAAGTTTGGAAGAGTTGGTTAAGTTTTTGGAAAAAGTAGAAGGGGTTTGGGGGTGTTGGTTGGGGGGGGAGGGGTGTTGGGGTTTGGGGTTGCGGTTGGGGTTGTGTGTGCAAAAGTTTGGTCAAGTTGGGGAAGAGTTTGGCGAACTTCAGGGAAGTTTACACGAGTTGTTGGAGAAGTTCAGCAAACGGTTTGGCAAAGTTGGGGGAAAAAGTTCGATCGACTCGAGGGAAGTTTAAGACAAGTTCGGGGGAAAAAAAAAGTTTGATCAACTTTAGAATAAGCCTGGAAGACGTTTGGCAAAGGTGGGGGGTGGGGGTGGTGGTGGGGTGGGGGGGGGGAGGGGTGGTGTGAGTTGGGGGGGAAGAATTTGACGGACTTGAGAGGGGTTTAGAGAAAAGTTTTTTGAAAACTTTTGGGAAACTTTGAGGAAAGTAGAGAAAAGCACAGGCAGAGAACCTTTTGGAAAACTTGCTGAAGCTGGTGACCTCTCAGGATGGAACGGTGAGGCTGCTGATCCTGTCAGTCACCTGGTTAATGTCCCTTCCCTGGGAGCTGGTTGAAGCTCAGGGACATCCCGAGGACAATAACGGCCGCTGGAGGCAGATGATCCAGTGGGAGAACAACGGCCGAGTGTACAGCCTCCTCAACACGGGGTCTGAATACATCCCGAGCGGTCGGTACAGGCCCCGGAACCCCAGGGTCTGGCTGGGGGGTATGGGCAGGACCACAGCCTCCAATAGACTGCAACCTGAGCGCCGACAAGCGCCATCCCTACCCGCAAGAGGAGTGTCGGAAACGGTGAGGGGTCAAACCAGGCACCCGTTTGGTTTCGGCCAAGTTCCTGACAACTGGAGACAAGGAACCTTGGGAGTTCCCTCCAGCACTCACCGCTACCTACCCTCCCAAAGGCAAGAGCCACGGCAAAGGCAACGGCTGCCCTACGCTGAGCCTCCCTTCCCTCAGTCTCCGTCCTCTCCCCAGTCACCTTCCTTTCCCCAATCTCCTTACCAACGTTACCTGCTTCCGCAACCATCTTACCCCAACTCATACGACTCTAATTATGAGTACGGTTCCCCGAGGAGGTTTGACCCCGTGGACGACCGGAGCCCCTACCGAAGAGTACCCGAGAGCTTCTCTCCGGATGCCGGAGCCTATCCCTACCGTCCCAGGCCTCGGTACGACGACTACGGTGAAGACGGGTACCGTTATCGGCCCCAGTCACGGCTTCCCTTCCAGGAGCATTCCAGCTTTTCCCCGGTCCAGCCCTCCGATGGGCTGGACAGGAGATACATGCACAGCTTGTACGACGAGAGCAGGGGTCAGGATCAGGGTCAGGCGGCCGACACGGGAGCCGATTCCTCGCCCTTTTTGCCCTCCGGCGGGGACGTCGATCCTGAATCAGTAGGAGCCGGCCGCTACCCCGACGCTGGGCCCAGGGCCGTCCCCGAAGGCACCGGTCACTACCCGTCCAGCCGCAGGGCGCCAGCGGACCACCATCAGCTGCCACGCCAGGCCGAGCCTAACGTCCCCTTCGTGAATCCCGAGCCGTACCCAGTGACGAGAGGGGATCCCTATGAGCGGGTGCGAGGAGAGGAGCAGCAAGGCCGGCTGGGTCAGGCCTCGCGGGTGGCCCTCGGGAGCGTGTACAGACAGGATCGCACCGGCAGAGGTACTCGCACTCGGCGCAGTTCGCGAGAAACGCGACTTGAACCCGCACCGGCTTGACCTGCCGTAACACGGGGTGACCAAAAGCGTGGTGACAACCGGCCCCCGTTATTTCAAACGATATGTCATCGTTTCCTTCAGACTTATCGGATGTTGGAAGCCTATCACAACTTTTTGGTCACTCCGTGTGTGTGGGGATGTATAGCAATAATGTCAGTAACAATCCTTGTGTTTGATCTGGCGCCCTATCACGTCGTCGAGACATCTCGAAAGCGCTTCGCAGGACGTACTGTCAAACGGATTGATTGGGTGTTTTGTGGGGGTGAAAATGGCAGCCAGTTGCGCACGGCTGTGCCCCACAATTGTAGATGAGCATTTGTCTTTTTTTAATAGCGATTATTTGAATTCCTCGTAGTGAATTAATGATAATAATAATAGCTTTTGAAAAAAAAAATCGATAAGCCTCGCGTTCGATATCGGGTTGGGAGGGCGGCTCAAAGCGCTTCGCAGGATTTTACTCCAAGGTGCGGTGACGGCCTGTTTTGTAGGTGATGGCAGCGGCCAATTTGCACACGCTGACATCGCACCCAACAGCCGTGGAGTGACTGACCAATTTAATCTGGGGCATTGTTGGCGAGGACACCCTTCTCTTTCGAATACTGCCGTGGAATCTCTAGCGTCCAGCCAAGCAGCCAGACGGGACCTCAGTGTAAAGTCTCATATAAATCTGAAGCAGCTGTTTGAAACTGAGCTTCCTCGAGATGCACGAGCCAGAAAGACCAATCTGTAAAACTGTCCTTCGAAACGTTTCTCCGACGGAGGCGGTCGAGTAAGGAGTTGACGCTCAAAAAAAGCTGCAGCAGAAATACTTTCTGCTCGATACTTTTTTTTCTCAGGAAAAAAATGATCTGTCTTTCTCTTTTTCTTAAAGCAATTTCTGAGGCTGATATTTGGAGAATATTTCTGGCCGTTAAATGATTGTATGCGGGTGGCGCAGAATGCAGGAGAAATTCCACTCGGGTTGAGATTTACCCTCTCAGTATTTCAGAGCTACCAGAATTTGGCACATTCTTGAGCGCAGCCTTGATTTTTGAAGTCTCTTGTGAGTGGAGAGGAATATTGTCTGATTTCCCCCATGAATTGCTGCTGACTTCACAATTTCTTAATAACTGAGCGCGTGTCAGGGTGCATTAGATAAATAATAATCCTTGCATTTGATGCAGCAGCTTATCACGCTGTTGAGACGTCTCAGAGTCGCTTCACAGACTATACTGTAAAGTGAATTGACTGCGGGTGAAACACAAGAAGTCTAAAAGAGTTAAAGGGCCTCCGATTGTTTTGCAAACACTTTAAAAGACTTGAATTCTCTGAAACCCGGTCCCTCGTGCAAACTGTCTGCTCATGACGGGTTTCTGTGTGTGTGTGTGTGTGTTTGTGTGTGTGTGTGTAGTAATTTTTCTAAGCAACTTCTGAAACCACTAAAACCGCTTTGTTTTATGTGTGCAGCTGGGAACTCGGGGAGAATAGTTTTATTCTGTTTGTTCTATTCTGTTTGTCCCGTAACAAGTGGCAGTACTGTAAGCAAAGGTGTAGGATTCCTAATGATATATGAGCAGAATGCACCTATGTCTAGGTTTGCTGTCACTTAGTAATAAATAATAATCATTGTATGTGACATAGCACCTTTCACGTCAGGATTTTCTGTAACGTATACTTTGTAAGCAGTCAGTTTGCACACAGCAATGTCCCATAAACAGCCAAAAGCCGAATGATCAGTTTTATATGGAGGATTGTCAGCCAGGACACCGGGAGAGACAAACTCCATTCCTTTTTCGAATAGCACTGCAGTGTCTTTAATGTCCACTTGAGCAGGCAGACGGGATCTCGGTTTAACATCTCAGGGAAAGCATTTGCCAGTAAATTGTAATTTTACAGTAGAACTTTGAGTTGCTTTGATGATGTGATAAGGCACTAGATCAACTACGCTTTGTATAAAATGCAAGGATTGTTATTATTATTACTGCTTATTATTTTCTTCTTATTATCTTATTATTGTAGGAGGGTGTAAAATTTGGCAATTCTCATGTTCAGTGCGGATTTCGAGGCTGTGTTTTTATGCATCCTCTTTAAGTTGTGGAAAACTGGCTTCAAAATTTAAGACTGCATTTATTTTTTTTTTAGAAATTCTGTGCACTCTGAACTGCTAAATAAAAAGCGTACAAGCCTAGGACAGGTGGAATTTCGCTCCCCTCCCCAACCCCTTCACAGATCGTCCATTAGTCAGTCCATGGTGTAAAATCTGCTGTTTACATTACTTTTCATTTTTCAGATTTTACTTTCGATGAATTTGAGTTAAAAACTGAGACGGTGCTGCAGATCAACTTTGTGTTCTTCCTGGCGCAGACAGTCGGTGACTATCTTTCAGGGTGGGAGAACGTGGGGTCTTCACGCTGAGCTGACTCCAAGGTGACATGTCTGGCCACAGAATGTTAGAATCGAGGCAGCCCTATGTGGCGGTCTATAGTTCGGTCCCTGAGCCAGTATTCCAGGACACTGTTGATGACAGCACAGCCCAGTCTGGCTCATCGGCAGGATCTGGAAGGGCAGACCAGTCACTGGGGGCAGGGAGTCATCCCACTCAGCTCCTGTTAACCTTCCAAGCTAAAGCCCTAACAATCCTAGCTGGACAGGCAGCAGGAAAGCTTGCTAAACAGTGTTATGTGTTGTTAGCTGGTTAGACTCCAGCAGTCACCCCAAACGCACATTCTGGCTTCCTCAAGCCTCACATCCCAGTGATGTGAAAGCTGCTGTATGAAATGTAAGGATTACTTTTAATACTTTCTTGGATTAGGCGAGCAGAGTGCGTCTCTCTGGGGAGATTTCCATGCCTGCGAGAAACATTTGGCTCAATCGATAGCCGCTCGCATCCTTATCTTTATTTGTGTGCACAACACCCTAATCCTTGACAGGCTCCACTGTCTCCCAGCAGGATCGACGTCAATATCCTCACTTTCACCTGGAAATCTCTACACGCCCTCGCACCTCCCTACCTCTGTGACCTTCTCTAGCCTCACTTTCCCGTTCGCCCCCTCCACTTGGTAAACCTGCCTGAGCCGTCCCACCATCAGTGGCTAAGTCTTTCACCCACTACCCTCCAGAACTCCCTCCCCGAATCCCTCTGCCTCACCCCATCTCCACCTGTTTTTAAACGCCTCCTGAAAACTTTCTTCTCTGTCCGTGTCTACGGTCTCCTTCTTCACTGTTCGGTGTCTGTCAGCATCTCTGTGGAACGTGTTGTGTAAAGGCAGATGGTTTGAGACTTTTAAACATGACAGTGGAGTTCTGTGTATCAGATACCCGGCCGATTGCAAAAAAAAATTCTAAAAATCAAAGCTTGTAGCCCAGTTTGTTGAACATAGAATCATAGCAATTTAAGGGGTAGAAGGAGGCCATTCAGCCCATTAGCTCTCCCAGAGCAAGTTCCCACTGCCCTGCCTTATCCCCATACACCTTCAAGGCTGTTTCTTTCATATGCACATATCTATTGGTCCATTCCAATGATCTATCTCTGGGATTTCCATGTGTAGGTGGGATGCATGGGAATCTCAGTTTGGTTTGGATGCTCTTAAGCAACGATGATGGATTTCTGCATGCGTCAGACACCCCGCTGACCGAAACAAAAACCTGTCTAATTCCCTGTTGAAAGTCATAATGGACTCTGCCTCTATCACCTTACTTGGCAAGGCGTGTCACATTCCATTAACTCTCTTGAGTGATAACAATTTTCTTAAGCTCTCCTTTTGCTCCCAGTGTGACTATCTTAGATCTATGTCCTCCCCTCACTGACTCCCCTACCAGTAAAATAATAAGAATTCCTGCATTTGATATAGTGCCTTATTACGTCTTCAACACGTCTCAAAGCACTTCACAGAATATACTGTAAAGTGAATTGACTATGTTTTGTGGGTGAAACGTAGCAGCCAATTACGCACAACAACATCCTACAAACAGCTGTGTTTTGAGTGACCAAATTATAATATTTATTGAGTGATAATTACCCAGGAAAAGCCATCTGCCAATAGACTAACTTACCGGGTTCCTAGTTACTGCTAGGTGAACTGCTTGTGGAGTAAAGAAACTTGCCCAACATTTCGCCCTGCCCTGCATTTATACCCCCAAAAAGGTTTCGGTGAATGGTGGCATATTTAACTTCACAATCACTCATACAGCTCTTTGGCACAAAGTAAATTGAATGAGAATGACCTTATAATTGACTTGTTAGAATATAAAGACACAACTGGACAAGAGAAGGGAGTTTCTCCTGGTGTTCCGGCCACCAATTCTGGAGTTAAATCGGTTGTTCATTTCACGTCTGTTTTGGGACATGGTTGTGCTGCGTTCACCTATAAATACATAGATAAAATTGGTCATTTACTTTGTGATTGATTATGGGATGTTGCTGTGTGCCAATGGGCTACTGTGTTCACCTATAAATAAACAGTCACTACACTTTACAGTAGATCCTGTGAAAAGCTTGGAGACGTCCTCTCAAATGCAATGACTATTATTGTTTTAATGGGCGCTGACTCAAACTCATGGGCTGTGATAAACAGTTTTCATTATTTCAGTAAGGTCAGTGATATTATTCGATCACTGACTGAGGAGCAGTTTACAATGAGTGCAGCGTAACCAAAGGAGGAAAAGGAGCTCTTAAGCCTGTGCTGGAGGCAACCTCCTGTTTGCTTTTGTGTGCGGTCTGAAAATATGTTGGGATTGGCACAGTGAGCGTAGGACTGTAGTGAAGTTGTGCATTGGTTTACTCTTCCCTCTACCACACCCACCCCCCACACACCCACGCACACACACACAGAAATGTACACACACATACACACAAATACCACACACAAACACCATACAGAACCACACACACACAGACCACACACAGATACACACACCCCACACCCACACGCACAAACACCACACACCCATGCAGTGCTGGGAGAG